GATAGAGCTGTCTGCCCTTTCCTTATTGATCTGTAAGATATCTTTGTATATTAAGGATGTAAGTCCTTTTCACACGTGTTGTGCACACACCCTCCCCTGTGCTGTGGGCTGCACTCTCTTACTGGGGTATAATTTTAACAAAGTGTATCGACCTTCTCCTTTGTGGGTGGCACTTGTGCGTCTGTGTAAGAAATACTTGCCCACCACGAAGGCATCAACGGAGCCTCCCATGGTGCCTTCTGGATGTGCTACTGCCTTATCTTTCACACGTGGGTCTGTGGTCTGGCTGGAAGTGCTTTCTGCACAGGGTGAGTTGTTTGTGAAGGGTCCTTTTTTCCAGTTCAAACATCCGAGTGATCCGTATCAAGCCCTGAACGAATCACCCACTTCCCGTGGCAGGGCAGTCCGCCTCGGCCGCAAACCCAGCCGCCACGTATCTGTGGTCTGTGTCCGGTCTTCACTCTGTCCCACGGGCTGATGTGTCCACAGGCTGGTGTGTCTAGCCTCGCACAAACACCACACTGTTTTTATTTCTGTGCTTCATAGTGTGTTCCAATACCTGATAGTATAAATCTCTTTCGTTGTTCTTCAAAATTGTCTTCACTATTTTGGGTCTTTCCTATTTCCATATACATTTTGGAATCAGCTTGACAGTTCACACACACACACACACACACACACACACACAAACACACACACTGAAAACCTGCTGGAACTTTACTGGGATTATATTGAGCCTACAGATCCACTGGGTGACAGCCGACATCTCCGTAAACACAGTATCCCCTGCATGGTTCAGGTCATCTGTCATTTTTCTCAGTAATGTGGCACAGTTTTTAATGTAGAGGCCTTAACCGCTCTTCGTAGAATTTTTTGAAGAAATTTATTGTAATAAATTATGATACCAGTTTTTAAATTTCCTCTCCAAACTGTCTTTTGCCAGCACACACAATGTCTTCTTGTCTACTGACCTGTCCTGCCGCATTCACTGACGAATTCTAACAGCACGCTGCAGATGCCTTCGGATTTTCCATGGACATAATCGTGCTGTCTATGAAACAGTTCCTTCTCAATCCTACTTTTTTTTTCATGCCATACTGCGTTGGATACGACTTCTGGCACAATGAGGAACAGAAACAATAGTACTAGATGCCCTCGTTCTATCCTCTATCTTAGGAGAAAAGATTTTAACATCTCCTCAGTAAGTATAACGTTAACTGTAGGGTTTTTGAAGATACCTTTTGGCAGATTAAAGGCATTCTTATCTGTTCCTAATTTGCCAGGATTTTTTTTAGCCTCCTTGAGTGTTGAATTTTATCAAGTGCTTTTCCTATCTGTTGAAATAACCTGTACAGATTTCCTCACTTCTTCTGTATTCCGTGGTGAATCATACCCAGACTCTGAATGCAAATCAGCCCTGCATCCCTACAATCAACCTCACTTTATAATGATGTATCATCCTTTTACACGTTGATTGACTGAAGTTACTAATATTTAGGGTTTTTGTCTGTATGTTCGTAAGAGAGACTAGCATGTTATTTTCCTTCCTGGGATCCTCGTAAGAATCTGGAATCAAGCTACTGGGGCCTCGTGAGGCAGACAAGGTGTGTTCCTCCCCGCCGTATTCTCTGTGCGTGTGTGTAAACTGCTGCTAGCTACTGCTCAAATATGGGACCGAATTCACCCATACAGCTATTGAGGTCTAGAGTTTTCTTTGCAGGATATTTTTAAATTATGGATTTAATTTTTTAATAAATATTCAACATCCCAGATAAGTTTTCTTATGCCCTGCCTTCTAATTCACTAATCCTTTTTTCTGCTTTGTCTATGTGGAGAGTTAGCTAACCCACTAAATTCTTAATTTTAGTTACGGTATTGTTCAATACTAGAACTCCCTTTTTAAAATAAAATGTAAGTTCTCTGGTAAAAGTCTATACCATTTCCTATTTCCTTTCACATGTTAATAAAATGGATTGAGTGTCACTCATCCGGAACGCTTGGGACCAGAAGTGTTTCAGATTTTGAACTTGTTTTCAGATTTTTGATTTTTTTTTTTTCAGATTTTGGAATATCTGCATTGTACTTATTGGATGAACATTCCTCATCAAATATCCAAAAACCTAAATGTTCCAAAGAGCATTTCCTTTGTGCATCATGTTGGCACTCAAAAAGTTTCCAATTTTGGAGTTTTAACTTAGGGATGCTCAACCTGTAGGTATTTTAAGCTGAGTGTCCGACCAACCATTAGATTATCTGCATCACCTGTTGGTCAGTTTCTACTTCCTGTTTTTCCTTGGCTTTAGTCATTGGATCCTGGTCCCTGTGATGCCTAATGACTTTGGCTTAAATCCCAAACACTGTATGAAAAATTGCAGAGATTCTAGATGATGGAATTGTCCTCTGTCTTTGGAGAGACCACATAGACATGATTCCTGGCTATGCTTTAGGTTTGGTTGGTCAGGGCTGGTCTGCTTCTGGTTTACCGTCATCTCTCATTGTCTCAAGCGGAACTTGTGTTTACAAGAGTCCCTCCTCCTGGGTGGGCCTTAAAATCCAACTTTTGTCTTCTTAGTACTCTGAGGGCACTCTGACTTCTGTTCAGCTTTTCCTGTGAAGTACTTGTTGCTTGGCGTCTTAGACTCTCACGTCACGCACACACCAGCGAGTGTGGATCAGCAAAAGCCTGCCTCCCGGGGAAAACCTGAGGGCTGCAATCCCCTCCAGGGTTTTATTCCTAAGGGTCCCGGGCTCTAATTTGTGACTCTCCAGCCCAGTAAGACCACTAAAGCTATAAGCCACCATGGCTGTTCAGTCTCGATAAGCTGAGACACAAGCTGCCAAATGTCCTGGGGGTGAGAAGGAAGTGATGATGAGCCTGAGTGATCTGGGAACACGTGCCTCCCTGGGCCTGGTTCCCGGCTGCTCTGACGCTTCCCCCATGTTGGATCCATGTGTCTCTGCATGTCTGTGTCTATCTGCGTGTCTCTGTGTGTCTGCATGTCTGTCTATCTGCGTGTCTGCATGTCTGTGTCTATCTGTGTGTCTATCTGTGTGTCTGCATGTCTGTGTCTATCTGTGTGTCTGCATGTCTGTGTCTATCTGTGTGTCTCTGTGTGTCTGCATGTCTGTGTCTATCTGCGTGTCTCTGTGTGTCTGCATGTCTGTCTATCTGTGTGTCTGCATGTGTGTGTCTATCTGCATGTGTCTCTGCACATCTGTGTTTGTCTGTTTATCTGTGTCTCTGTGTCTGCATGTCTGCGTTTATCTGTGTGTCTGTGGGTCTATGTTTATCTGTCTCTGCATGTCTGTGTTTATCTGTGTCTCTTCGTGTCTGTGTATCTGTGTCTCTTCGTGTCTGCGCGTTTATCTCTGTCTGTGCGTGTCTGTTTATCTGTCTCTTCGTGTCTGCGTGTTTATCTGTGTGACTGCGTGTCTATGTTTGTCTCAGTTTGTCTGTTTATCTGTGTCTCTTCGCGTCTGCGTGTCTGTGTTTATCTGTGTCTCTGCGTGTCTGTTTATCTGCATATGTGTCTGCATGTCTGTGTTCATCTGTCTCTTCATGTCTGTGTGTCCGTGTTTACCTGTGTCTGCATGTCTATGTTTATCTGTCTCTGCATGTCTATGCTTATCTGCATGTGTGTCTGTGTTTATGTGTGTCTCTGTTTATCTGCATGTTTGTCTGCGTGTCCGTGTTTATCTATGTGTCTGCGTGTCTGTTTATCTGTGTCTCTAGGTGTTTATCTGCATGTCTGTGTTCATCTGTGTCTCTTCATGTCTGTGTGTCCGTGTATATCTGTGTGTCTGCATGTCTATGTTTATCTGTCTCTGCATGTCTATGCTTATCTGCATGTGTGTTGTTTATCTGTCTCTGTTTATCTACATGTGTCTGCGTGTCTGTGTTTATCTGTGTCTCTAGGTGTTTATCTGCATGGGTGTCTGTGTTTATCTGTGTCTCTTCATGTCTGTGTGTCCGTGTATATCTGTGTGTCTGCATGTCTATGCTTATCTGCATGTGTGTTGTTTATCTGTGTCTCTGTTTATCTACATGTGTCTGCGTGTCTGTGTTTATCTATGTGTCTGCGTGTCTATGTTTATCTGTGTCTCTAGGTGTTTACCTGCATGTGTCTGCATGTCTGTGTTTATCTGTCTCTGCGTGTTTACCTGCATGTGTCTGCATGTCTGTGTTTATCTGCGTCTCTGTGTTTATCTGCATCTCTGCACGTCTGTTTATCTGCATGTGTCTCTGCATGTATTTGTGTGTCTGTGTGTCTGTATTTCTCTGTCTCTGCATGTCTGTGTCTCTGTTTCTCTCTGTGAATCTGCGTTTATCTGTGTGTCTACGTGTCTGTGTGCATCTATGTGTGCATTTTTCTGTGTGCATGTGCCTGTGGTTTTTCTGTTTTTGTTTTTGAGACAGAATCTCACTCTGTCACCCAGGCTGGAATGCAGTGGCGTGATCTCCGCTCACTGGAACCTCGGCCCTGCCTCCTGGGTTCAAGCAATTCTCCTGCCTCGACCTCCCATGTAGCTGGGATTACAGGTGCTCGCCACCATGCCTGGCTAATTTTTGTATTTTTAGCAGAGATGGGGTTTCTCCATGTTGGCCAGGCTGGTCTTGAACTCCTGACCTCAGGTAATCTGCCCACCTCAGCCTCCCAAAGTACTGGGATTACAGGCGTGAGCCACTGCACCCGGCCACGTGTGCGTGTGTTTTAACGCAGGTTTTACAGCAGCTCTCAGCAGGAGGGCTGGTCTGACCAGTGAGTCCTGCCCAGCACATGGAACCATCCACAGTCATTCTTTGGGAGCTGAGCCCTTGTCAGGCACTGTGCCAGGGCCCAAAGGTCAAAATGCTCATGTTTTCAAGGCTGTGCCTCACGGCACCCCTCAGAGGAGACCCCTGCCCTTGGCCCTCCCTGCCCTTCCATGGAGCACAGATGGCAGTGGATTCTGGGTTGTCCCCTAACAGTCATGACCCACGGTCACTACTTGGCACCCACCTGTTTACTGCCCCTCTGTGCCATGGGAAGCAGCGCTCTGGACTTTTCTGCAATTTTCTGTTGGAAAAAGGACAAGAGAAGAAACACAGGAAGAGCAAAAAAGGTGGGGAAGAGAGAAGAAATGGTCAGCTGAGCGCAGGGTTCTAGACGATGGTGCAGCAAAATATGCCTGCCACTCCCAGAAGAGGCTGCCGGGGCCGGGGCTGAGCTCTGCCAGCGAGACGCTGGATGGCCTCTGTTCACGCGTGGGAGCTCTCTGGGCCCCCGTTTCCTCACCTGTCAGAGTCGGGTGAGACCTGTTCTTCCTGCTTCCCCAGAGCTGCTGTGGGTCAGCTCTTGAGGGTAAATGTCCTCTAGGACACAAGCCCTGAGGCACAGTCTGGATCCTGGCTGCCTAGAAACTGTGTGCAAGGATGACCCCCTTCTCTGCCTTTGGGGATGGGTTTGTACCAGGCCCACAGGGACAAGACAGCCATGAGGGTGCCCTGGGAACCGAGGTCCCGCCGCCCCCCGCACCTCACCTTCTGCACCACTCCGTAGCGCTGAATGGCCTCCGAGAGCTGGGTGCTCAGCCGGTCCAGCTGAGGACGCTCCTGCTGCAGAAACAGGGCACAGCTGGCACGACATGGGAGGTCTGGCCCTGCCCCAGCGGCCCCACCACCCTCACCTCCTCCCGCACTGATGTCCCACCTTCCCACACTCAGAACGGGGCTCGCCATCAACTACATCCCCCTGGTGTCACCGCTGTCTCCACAGGCACACCCAGGGTCCCCAGGGACACCATCACCACAAAATCCAGCTCAGGGGTCAACACCACCTGCTGGAGCCAGGAGCTACTCAAGGCACATAAACCTGGCCCCGCACCACCTCCGCGAGCAGCACTGTGACTCCCCTTCCACAGCGCAGGAGACTGTGGCCCTGAGTCCCGAGTGGCTTGTCTGTGACTCTCCTTCCTCTTCCGCAGCACAGGACACCGTGGCCCTGAGCCCTGGGCGGCTTGTCCGTGACTCCTTCCTCTTCCACCACAGCACAGGACACCACGACCCTGAATCCCGAGTGGCTTGTCCGTGACTCCTCCTTCCTCTTCCGCAGCACAGGACACCGTGGCCCTGAGCCCTGGGCGGCTTGTCCGTGACTCCTTCCTCTTCCACCACAGCACAGGACACCACGACCCTGAATCCCGAGTGGCTTGTCCGTGACTCCTTCCTCTTCCACCACAGCACAGGACACCACGACCCTGAGTCCCGAGTGGCTTGTCTGTGACTCCCCTTCCACAGCACAGGACACCGCGGCCCTGAGTCCTGAGTGGCTTGTCTGTGACCACAGCGCAGGACACTGCGGCCCTGAGTCCCAAGTGGCTTGTCTGTGACTCCTTCCTCTTCCACAGCGCAGGACACTGCGGCCCTGAGTCCCGAGTGGCTTGTCTGTGACTCCTTCCTCTTCCACAGTGCAGGACACCGCGGCCCTGAGTCCTGAGTGGCTTGTCTGTGACTCCTTCCTCTTCCACAGTGCAGGACACCGCGGCCCTGAGTCCCGAGTGGCTTGTCTGTGACTCCTTCCTCTTCCACAGCGCAGGACACCGCGGCCCTGAGTCCCAAGTGGCTTGTCTGTGACTCCTTCCTCTTCCACAGCGCAGGAGATTGTGGCCCTGAGTCCCGAGTGGCTTGTCTGTAACTCCCCTTCCACAGCACAGGACACCGTGGCCCTGAGTCCCGAGTCGCTTGTCTGTGACTCCTTCCTCTTCCACAGCACAGGACACGGCGGCCCTGAGTCCCAAGTGGCTTGTCTGTGGTCACATAGGTGGCGGGGTCACTGCCAGAACCATCCCCCTCCCCAGCATCTCACCTGTACCTGGGCTCCCCATGGCCTACAGGGTCCACCAACCCCAGTTCCTTCCTGCTGGGCCGTTTGCCACCACACCTCAGCGCCCACCAGGCACCTGCTCCAGAGCTGGAGCTGGAGAAACACTGAGCCAGGGTGGGGCTGGACAAGCAGCCCTGGGGTCAGACCCATTGCTCTGGCTCACCGTGGGCGCCGCCCACCAGCAGGAGCACCAAGGAACCCACAGCTTCCTTCCAGCACCCACCCCATGGCTATCAGAAGATTGGAGAGAGCTAAGGCTCAGGCGGGCTGGTCTGGGGTAAACCTCTGATGACCGAGGGGCACTGGGAGCAGCCGATCACAGCCTTGACCTCTTCCCACGATCGAAGGTACTACATCTCATCAAAGCGTCCATGGCCCATAAAGTCAAAGATGTGGTAGGCACCGACTGCGCCCACCAAGCCGTGTGAAGGAGCCATTCACTTCACGAGGAAACGACCTGCGCGGACCACCCGAGCCTGCTCTCACCCCACAGAAACACCTCTCAGAATCGCAACCCTCCACCATGTGGGGCCTTTCTCAGCACCTCCCATAAGAGGGCCCAGTGTGTATTCTCGGATGAATGAGTAAATGAGTAAGTGACTCAGGCACACCTAAGTCAGAGAATGAAGAACAAAGCTACAGAGCAAGAGGTCAGACACAGGCGTCAGTGCTGGCCATGATGCTGCTGACATCACCACCCGAGGGCACAGGCCAGGGCAGCACCCAGTCCCCACAGAGTGGTCCCCGCAGGGCAGCCATGGCTATGAGGAGTGGCCCGTGCACAGAGACGCTCCAGGCCGCTCAGCACAAAGCTCCCAGCGCTCCTGTCATCTGCCTTTAGGGAGACTCCGGCCACCCCATCACTGGACAGGGGGCTCCTGCCTCCGTCACGCGCTTTTTTAGTGTAACTAACTTTTGAACTAGCTCTACTTTTTTAAGTATAAGTTTTATTACTGTATAATTGAGATCTGATAAAATTCACCCGCTTTTAAGTGTCGAGTTCAGTAACTCTTAGTTGTACAGCCATCCCCACAACCCAGTTTTAGAACTTCCCCATCACGCCAGAAAGGGCCCCACGCCTGCCTGCAGGCGCCCCAAAACCAACTCCTGCTCCCAACCCCGACAACCGCTCGTCCACTTTTGGTCTCCAGAGATTGCATTTTCTGGATGTTTCACACAAACAGAACCACACACTGTGTGTTTTCTTGCATGGGGGCATGCGGTCTTTGAGCCCCACCACATTGTGGCCTGCCTAACTCTCCACTCCTTCTCACTGCTGACCACACCCAACGCAGCACTGTCCATGTCACGTGTATTTTCCACAGGGAAGGCGGCACGTGTTTCCCCTGCAGGACTGCTAATCCATGCTGCTGGCTCTGCAGCAGGTTGAACCTGCAACCCCAGCCCTCCTAAGGCAGTGAGAGCAGCTATGGGCAGCACCTACGGCAGGGGCAGGTTGGCATCTCACTCACACTGTGCACATGAAGCAGGTACAGCCAGAAGCTCACACCGTATGCATGAAGCAGGTGCAGCCAGCGGCTCACACCGTGCACATGAAGCAGGTACAGCCAGCGGCTCACACTGTACGCATGAAGCAGGTGCAGCATGAAGCGGGTGCGGCCAGCGGCTCACACCGTACGCATGAAGTGGGTGCAGCATGAAGCAGGTATGGCCAGTGGCTCACACCGTACCCATGAAGCAGGTGCAGCATGAAGTAGGTGAGGCCAGTGGCTCATACCACGTGCATGAAGCAGGTATGGCCAGTGGCTCACACTGTACACATGAAGCAGGTGCAGCATGAAGCAGGTATGGCCAGTGGCTCACACTGTACACATGAAGCAGGTGCAGCATGAAGCAGGTATGGCCAGTGGCTCACATCGTATGCATGAAGCAGGTGCAGCATGAAGCAGGTGCGGGCCAGCGGGCTGCAGCTTGCTCACTCCTGCCCCATAAAATCTTAGGGTTCGGCAGCATTTAATCTTTTGTGACAAGTACCCTCCAATCTTCAGCGACTGGGCACTGACCTGGTGTGGTGGAGCGGAGGGTGTCGGGATGGTTAGAAGTGGGGACAGGGCCAGGAGTGGTGGCTCACGCCTGTAATCCCAGCACTTTGGGAGCCCAAGGTGGGCGGATCACTTGAGGCCAGGAATTCAAGACTAGCCTGAGCAACACGGTGAAACCCCACCTCTACTAAAAACACAAAAATTCGCTGGGCATGGTGATGGGCGCCTGTAATTTCAGGTACTCAGGAGGCTGAGGCATGAGAATCACTTGAACCTAGGGGGCAGAAGTTGCAGTGAGCCAAGATCATGCCACTGTACTACTCCAACCTGGGAGACAGAACAAGACTCCGTCTCAAAAAAAAAAAAAAAAAAGAAGTGGGGACAGGGTGGAGATGAGGGAGGAAGCGGCCCTGGGGCAGCTGAGCCAGGACAGTGGCGATGGCTGTGGCAGTGGGTATGGTGATGGCCACTGCCACAGCCATATGTCTGGCCTGAGGCCCATGTGTCTGGTAAGGCACCAGGGGAGGTGAGGGGATAGGGAGGGTGTGCGTGAAGGTGGTCTTGGGTGGTGGATGCGGCAGAGGCGCAGGGGATGCAGGGCGGGGGAGAGGATGGTGAAACAAACAATGGCGGGCCATCAGCTTCCAGTAAGGCCTGGCCAGGAAGACCCAGGGTGCTCTTGTCCCCACTACTGCATAAGCCAAGGAGAGCAAGAGTGCGGGCAGCCACATCAGCCCGGCACGTGGTCAGCACACGGCTGCTACCTGAATGACTGAACACAGGTTCTGAGCCACGGAGCCACGTGAAGCTGGGTACCAGGTCAGTCTGTGCCCATCCACACGTATCAGCCTCCCTGTATCCTGCCTCGTGCGACGTCCCCGCTCCCATCACAGGCACAAGGGTCCGTTCCTCTCCTCCCTCCCAGCCCGAGCCCCCAGGAACATACCGGGCAGGAGCTGCGCAGCAGCTCGGCCATCTGCTTCACGGTGGTGGCGCTGGCTGCGATGGTCTTGTTGGTCTCCTGCTGTGCTGTGTGCCTGGGGGCCGAGAAGGAGCCAGGAGCGAAGGCAGGGGAGGAAGGCAGCAGAGAGCAAGGGCCCAGAAGGGCGCAGCGAGCAGGGATGCACAGACAGAGTCGGGGAGACAGAGACGGACGGACAGACAGGTGGAGAGAGGGCCGAGAGACACACAGAGACAGAGAAAACAGCAGAGAGGAAAACGAGTAGGGAAAGGGTAGCAAACAGAAAGAGGCAAAGGCTCAGAGAAAGAGAGAAGGGAACAGAGACAAGAGCAGCAGTGACTCCCACAGAGAAAGAGGAGGGGGCCCAAGAGCCAGGACAGGGAGGGACAGGCAGACACACAGCACGAGACGGGGCAGATGGGCAGATACCCAGCAAGAGATGGGGGAGATGGGCAGACACCCAGCAAGAGAGAGGGGAGACGGGCAGACACACAGCAAGAGGCCAGCGGGGAGGGGAGGCGGGCAGAAAGGCAGGCAGAGAGAGATGGCGCAGGTAAGCTCTGGCTGGGGTGGGTGGCAGCCAGGCCCCACCAATCAGCCACTGTGAGGACCACCTTCCTCCCCCGCTGCAACCACCCCCAAATACCCCACAGAGAGGAGGCCCAGCCACGAGCCCTCCCTGCAGAAAGACCCCTCTCACAGTCAGCTCTCCTCGGAAAGCCAGCAGGAGAATCAAGGCAACAGCGCCATGGCCCAGGGAGGCCAGCGATCCTCACCCCCTGCACACTTCTGAGGGGCCCCGGGTGAGACGGTTCTCACGCCCAGGCCCAGTGAGACACAGGGAGGCCAGGACAGTCCCAGGTTACAGTTCCAAGCATGACCTCGAAAGCATCTGGGAAGACCAGCCCGTCTCCCAATAGGGGTTCGTCACCCCCATCCCTGGAGAGAGAAGCACCAAGGCAACCGTACCCCAGCCTGGCCACAGGCACACACAGTAAGTGCAGGGAGGACCCTGGCCTGGTGGACACTGGGGAGCCACAGTGACCCTTTCAAGTACAGCCCACATGGCCCCTGCAGGCCCCTCAGGCACCACCTAGGGCCTGGACCAAGCAGGCCTCGGGGCCGACACGTGGGAGCAAGCCTGGCACCACCGCCCCAGGCCAAGCCTACAGGAGCAGGGCCCATCTCCTGATATCCACCCTGGGTGGGCAGAGCCTGTGGCACACAGAGGAGTAAGAGTGCCCCCCAGAACAGGCACCCAGCAGGCTAGAGAGGGTGTGGGCAAAGGAGGGCAAGGAGCCATAAGGTTACCGCAGACTGGGGGGAACCGCAGGGACAGGAGCTTTCTTCCCCGGGGCCTTGGTCAGCGCTGCCTCCTGCAGCTGGCCTCTCAGGCTCTGAAGAGCCTCCAGTGCCTCCAGCTCGCAAACATGCCTCTTCGGCCAACCACTGGCTTAACACCGTGAGAAGGATGCGGAAGCAGTGTGCCCCTCACCCCCGCTCCCACCAGTCCTCTCCTCACCCTGGGTTGCCACGCAGCCTCCTGTCCCTCTCCCTGGGCTGCCACTCCGCCTCCTGTCCCCGGCCCACTCGCCACTGCATCCCATCACATTTTGTACACAGCAGGCTCGAGCGATCCTGCTAAAGATACTTCAGATCTTGCCAGTCCAAACCTCAGAGCTCACCGACGGTTCCACATCTCATTCTGGTCAAAGCCAAAGTCCCTCCAGCACTGCTCTAGGCCCACGTGGACGGCCTCGCCACGCCGCCCTCCTGCACCTGCGACTTCACCTCCCCACGCCGCCCTCCTGCACCTGCGACTTCACCTCCCCACGCCGCCCTCCTGCACCTGCGACTTCACCTCCCCACGCCGCCCTCCTGCACCTCCGACTTCACCTCCCCACGCCGCCCTCCTGCACCTCCGACTTCACCTCCCCATGCCACCCCTGGGCTCTAGGCCCACATGGGCAGCCTCCTGCACCTCCGACTTCACCTCCCCACACCACCCCGGGTTAACTTCACTCCTGGCCCACAGGTCTCTGCTGCTCCTGAATGAGCCGGACAAAACCCTGCCTTAACGCTTTCCTAGGCCAGACGCAGACAACCAAGCCCTGGTTGCTGACCCAGGAGCAGCTGTCTGGTCACGCTGCCGCCATGGGCAACAGCCCCAGCACCAACACCTGCCCAGGTAACTCCCCTGGGAGGGCCAGGCAGGTCACGGCCCACACTGTTGTCTGCTCTGAGCTGACCTCTCCACTCCTCTAGACTCCCATGTGTCAGGGGCTCTCACTCACGCCCCCGCTGAAACATCCTCGTGGAGCCATTAGTGCTGGAATGAAGGCAGCCCGTTTCCTGTATGCGGTGGGTCAGGCTCTTCTCTTTCCAGGCAGGATCTCGTCTCATTTGCGCCTCCCTCACAAACTGTTAGCACCATGCAGGATCAAAGCGAACAAGGCCTCCTTACCCAACCTGGCAACCCCCCAGGCATCAGATCCCCCTGCCAAGTCCATCGTGGGAACAGAAGGTTGCCAGCCAGAAAACCCAAGACATGATGAAGGGAGTGGGGAACGAGAGCCGCCAGTCAAGGAAGGGCAGCCAGGCGGAAGGGCACTGCAGAGGGGCCATCTTCCACGATGCTCGTCCCAGTAAAAGGCCCGGAGGAGACCTCTACTTACAGCCATGGTACCAGGTAGTACCTCCTACCTCAAACAAGCAGAAAACACATTTAAACAAACACACACACAAAACTAAGGGATGCAGCTAAAACAGTACTTACAAGGAAATTACTGCTTTAAATTCTTATATTAGAAAAGAGAAAACAACAAAATCAATGTCTAGAAAGTCCACCTAAAGAAGCCAGTAAATTAAACACAAAGGAAGTAGAACAGAGATAATAAAGGTTAAGTTTAACAATTAATAAAATAGCAAACAGACCAATAATAGAAACAATAAAATTTAAAAGCATTCAAAACATTACACAACTCTGCCTAGACAAGTCAAGAGGAAGAAAAACCACACTAGCAAATTACCAAGGTCAAGAACGAAAGACTGAACCTGACTGCAGATCCAGCATTAAAAGAACGTTAAGGAAACACAAAATCCTATCAGGCCCATAAATCTGACAACTAAGATGAAATAGAAAAATTCCTTAAAAGACATGAATTATCTCAAAACTGACTCAAAAAGAAATAGAAAACCTAAATAGCTCTATAAGTATGGCAAGAATTCAATTTGTGCTTAAAAACACTGCTGCAAATACACAGGCGCAACAGGCTTCAAGATCAGTATCACGCAATCCCCTAGAAAACAGACAGGAGACACACATTGTATGAGGCTCGCACTACCCTGACAACAAAACCCAAACAGATCATCTAAAGGAAGGAAGCCCACATATCACTCACAAACCCAGCAGCAAAAATCTTCAATACAATTTTAGAAAAATGAATTCAACTATATATGAAAGAGATAGTACACCATGACCAAGAGGCACTTACCCAGGGGATACGAGGTTGGTTCAACATTCAAACATCGGTAAGTGTAATTCTCCTATCAACAGAGCAAATTTAACAAGGAGAAAAACATCTTAATAACTTCTGCAGAAAAAGCATGTGACAAAATTCAACACTCATTCTAGACTAAAACTTCCTTGAGTTTAGTTCCTAGTTTCCTTAACTAGAAAAAAGAAGGGGACTCCCTCAACCTGATACAGAGAGTTTGTTAAATAAAAAACAAAACAAACATCTAGGATACTTACAGCAAAAGATGGAATGCTTCCCCGTAAGATGGGGAGCGAGGCAGGTATGTGTGCTTTCACTACTTTTACTCCTCATATTATAAGTTTACCTAGGAATAAGGGGGAAAGACCTAAGAAGCATAAAGATTGAAAATGAAGAGTAAAACTGTCTTCAGTCACAGAGACGTGTACATCTATATAGAAAATCCCGGCTACGTGCAGTGGCTCACACCTGTAATCCCAGCACTTCAGGAGGCTGAGGTGGGTGGATCATGAGGGCAGGAGATCGAGACCATCCTGGCTAACACGGTGAAAGCCCGTCTCTACTAAAAATACAAA